GGCCATAAAACCCTTCACAAACATTTTACAGACAAATATGATACTATAACGTTAGAGCGGACAAACCCACGGCAAGTAAGGAAACTACTCTAAACTCGGTTGTGGGTTAGCAAACTGTCGCTACTGCTGCAACAAAGCTAACCAGTTGGGATCAGCCATCATAACATGACAACGAACGGACGAGACAGTACTGACCTGTCGTTTGTGTGAAAAAGCAAATGTGACATTACTCGCCTGTCCAGCAGAAACAGAGCAACCTGTGCATCGGTTTTCATTACCAGTGTTAACACAGGTCTTCCACCTGCCTGGTCATATATCTTGTTTCGCAATGTGTACTCTTCAGACCTTTTCCTCTTTGGCTGTTTCTCAGCCATCTTTCCTTCTGGACAGTGTCCTGTAATGAGTCCAGTGAATTTCTTAGCATATCATTAACCATGCTCCTCAGAATAAATAAATTTCCCCTCTGATTTTAATTTTCAGTGAAAAAAAGTTCTGATAAACCCACTGTTCAATCTGTAAACTAGCAGCTATTTCCCTCAGAGGTTGATGCGGACCAAAATAAAGCTTAAAGAGTGTGATTATTGGAGACAATGAATGCTAATGTTGCTGTACCACAGGCAGTTGTTTTCTAATAAGTCTGCCATAACAACTTGCTTGAGAAGGTGTTAACATGTCACAGCCCGAGTGGCCAAAAAGTCTATTAATACTGCTTTAAAACATGCATAATTTAAAGTTGCCATACTTTGAGGTGATTAATAACAACACACTGCTATAAAACATAAAACTAGCACCAAGTTAGTTCTCACTTGGGCAAAGTTTTGTCTGGTTCCCCCATATTCCACTGGAAAACTAATATCCAAATAAAAACAAACAATGCTGATGCTGCACTGCCATACATCTAACACTTGTCTGGTACACCCTGGCGCTTGGGAAATGGATATGCACTGCAGTGTTGGGATGGAAAATGGACACAATACTCTTTCAATCTGTTGAGGACAACTACATTAAAGATAAGCAAAAAGAAATGTTCCAAGTCTGTCCCAGTGCTGAAAAGAAAGAGGTCAGAACTCCGGTGTGTTAGAGAGGACAGCAGAGTTCAAATAGAGATGTGTTCATACTGGTTTATTGTGAACCAACAATGCTGTGGGGAACATGGAGTGACATTTGAGAGAGAGAGGACCTAGGAGCTCTCCTGAAAAGATTAAGAGATTTTGAGAAAGGTGGAAAGAGGCAGACAGAGTGATGGATTGAGATAGGAGGGGCATGTCGACTGAAATTGGAAGTGAAGTATCTGCAGCACTTTGGACGCACACATACTCACCGTCACCATCTGACAATCAGGGGGAGCGTGTGTGAAGGGGAGGCACCTCTCATCCAGCTGTGTCCCTATTGCCCATCAGAGCTATCTGCCCCCTCCCGTTCACTTTCTCTCCAAAACCGTGTCTCTGTTTAGCCCTCACACATCATTAGCTAGAAACCCCATCGCTCTCTCCTAAGTCCTTTCTTTCTTAACAGCCTCTCTTTCCGCCCATACTCAGTCCCCCCTACTGGACAGAGAGGGGGAGAGTAGCAGGAGGTTGGTGAGTCAGAGGCAGGTGTCTGACAGCCAGCCAGCCAGCCAGCCCAAGAAATTTCTCATCCACTACCTCCTGTGTTTCTTTCCCATCCACCTCTCTCTCTGTGTGTAGTCTGTTGAGGCCCAGCGCTGCTCACTGGAGATACCAAGACCCACAGAGGACAGCCAAACCCCAAGCCCCATATCTCCTCCTCTTCTGCTCCTCCTATCATCCATGCACTCCTCTTCTTTTTTCCTTCACTCTCATTCCCCTTCACCCTGACATTTTCTTTTTATGCACCTGAAAATTTCTCTCTCCTTTTCCGTGCTCTTTCATTTCGTCTAACGTCCCTCCCCACCAGAGTTTCCACTGCAGTCCGGTCTTTGTCCAGGTTTCTCAACCAGCGCCGTGCTGGCACACATAGCTCTCCTGCTGGGACACTGCTCACACAGCACATATGTTGCTATGGCCAAGTGTTCACTCACACACTCATAACACTTTATACAGATGCAGGCCAAACGAAGAGCCCCACTGAGAAATAAACGATGCTTGTTTATGTGCCGTGCTCTTGTTTCAAGTGGGTGTGTGTGTGTGTGTGTGTGTGTGTGTATGTGTTTGCATTAAGCATTCATCCTGTCTAGTTCACCTTTGGGACAGCAACTCCCATCTCTCTGTTCCCTCTTTTCCTCTCTTGTTTCCTTTGTTTGTTTGGTAAAAATTCTTTGAGCTGCAATCAGATAGGTTTGTTGTCGCCCACATTTTGTACCTGGCTGCTGTTGGTGCCTGCTCCAACTTATGTGTTTTCAGTCTTTGCTCCCCTTTTACCACTGCAGTCTTCACATTGCCACCAAACTCACCTTGATGCACAACCACATACACAGGCAGTGCATGTATAAACACGTGCTGTACAATCAGGCTCTGTCTCTCTATGGATATTGATTCGTGCCAAGCCCTACTTCTATATCTCTTCTTACACAGTAGGTCTACATTCATCCTAGCTCACATCTACAAATAAGAGTGTCAAACTTCCTTGCCAGACACACTTTTTTTGACATGTGCAGAGGTTGTAATTTCCTTTTTTCCAGTTATTCCTGTGTGCAGCTCAAATCACAATGTTAGTAAGTACAGCCTGGTTGCTGATAATACAGTAAATGCCGGTTAAACATACGGTGGTAACTTCAAAAGGCTGAAAATGCACTATACTGGTGGTGGACAAATCTGTACAATATTCTGCAATCCATAGTAGGGATGTAACCTTGTAGGGTCATTCACATTCATGTTGATTAAGTTAATAATCAAACTGATCAATTTGAGTCATTATCACATGATGCTCCTATAGTGAGATAAATCAACTCTTGTGGTTTCTGAGGCTGTAGATTTTGGTTGATTAATTTCTGATAATAATTTATGTTGCTTCTGAAACTGTGCAATATAAGGTGGTAGGTATTTATGTTACTGTAGGAGTAATATAATATTTTTTGGACTTACAAAGTCCAACTTGTAGCCGCTTATTATCCACAGGCCCAAAGGACAGGAGAACGCTACCAATCCAGAAAGTACTCTTACATAATTAAATGTCCTCAGAATGTAGCCAAATAAAAAAGACACTACTTATAATACAACAAAAGCTAATAAGTATGCTTGCTTCAGTGAACTCACTGACGTTCTCATGTCCTCACACTCATGTTCTTATCCTTTCTTTATTTTTTACACCACTCAAATTAGAAAGGACGTTGGTCCAGTGTTGCCTCCATTCACCCTTTGAAAAAAAGGGCTCGCAGTTCAGAACAGAACCCTCCAGAAATGCTGCCAGACTCATCGGGCTTTCTGAGTGGATGTAATGACAAAGCAAGGAGACAAACATGTATCATATGTGGGTGGGAAAGGGCAAATGATAGAGAGAGTTTCTTATATGTTGTAGTCTGTGTCACTGCGATCACCTTTAGCCCCGGGTGAGTGGGTGGAGCAGCATTTGATTTATTGATTGCTATCTGGATGTAAAGAGAATTTCAACAAAGTCAAAAATGCTTCTGAAATAAAGTGCCTGCCCCTGCTTAAAGTGTACTTTGCCCAGTGCATGGAGGGTTATGATGTTTACATGTGTAAACACACAACCAGGACAAAATCTGATTGTAACCATTACACTACAGCAACTGAAAAACAGCCTGTAGCTTTTGTGCACACATACACGCTTGCACAGCCATCCATTTTTACTGCATCCATTCGTCGTATTCATCCCCTTAGCACCCCTTATTTCCTCCCTCCTTTCCTCTGTTCCATTTCCCCACCTCTAATTGCTCTGCCGGTTTCTCTTCCCTCAAATTCATTGCCTTTCATGCCCTCCACTTCTTATCACAGTGACTCGATATTTATCTCTGCACTGTTCTCGCTCTGATCACCTGTTCCCCTCTGCCTGCTCCCAGCTGTGTTTGTACATTGCAGTCCATGCACTGAGATGGCTCTAACAGCTGAGACACAACCATCAATCTATCTATAAATCAATCATGCGTTCACCTGCTGGTACTTCTGTGTGTGTGTGTGTATGTGTGTACGCTTGTATTCATGGGCACGCCTTCCATTTGCCTCCATTTTTCCTCAATATCTTCTTTCTCCCCCCTTTTTATTGAACTCCTTTAGGGTTTGTGGAGTGGTTTGGTCTTCTACGTTTATCATCTGCTTTGTTTTTGTGCCTGTCCTCATGTGACCATGCATGCAGGTGCATCAGTAGACGCACGATTGTAAATGAATGTATGTGTGTGTATGTGATCGCGTGTGTCTGCTTAAGCGCTTGACTGCTCCTCCTTTCAGCTTGACTTGTTTATCTTTCCCTCCTACCTTTATTTGCCAAAAGGCTCAATCCCAGAAGGCTTGTGACAGTTTTACTTGTCAAATGTGTGTTTGCATTTCCCCCTCTGTGTGTCTGCCTGTCTCTCCCTGTTGTTGGTTTGGTCTCGTTCACATTTAAAGTTTCCTTGACTTGTCTTACTCCTTGGTTTGGAATGGATTGGATTGTGAGTGGAAATTAGCATCAAACACAGTAAAATGGATTATTAAGGACATTGTACAGCAACATTTTGCCAGACACTAATATATGGAAATGTCATGCCATGTTTGAACAAAGAGTCCAGAGTTCGCATGAATACTGAGGTGAAGCTTCAGAATGTTTTGTCGGGTAAATTTAAAGTGACAGTTTACCTGACATTGTAGTAAGTCCTAGATTACCAGCATTGCAAGTGATGAGTACTACAGAGTACAAAGGTCAAAGTATAGTGCAAATACTTAAAAATATTCTTAATGGAATGAAGGAAGAAACAGGGAAAAAGTAAAAACTAAGAATATGGAGAGAGAAGTACATGGAGAATTAGAGAGTGTGTTTGCGTGGGACAATGATGTGCCATAGTCCGTCATAGTTTCATCAGTGCCAGCACAAACTTGAGGTGTAATCATTACTGGTATTTGAACTTTACCTCACTTCTTCTGCCACACACACTTTGCCTCTCCTCTTTATTCTTTAAATGAGAAACCAGTGGCTTGTGTTTGACGGAACTGTAGACACACTGCGGATGTGATAACAAGGTTCCCACACTCGTCAAGAAGGGAAAATCTCCTTGCCTGAACAGGTGAGAATCGAAACCTGACCAGTATACACTGTGGGAAGTGTCCAAATGGACTACAGTTTGTTAAAGTGAGTGGGCCTATATACTGACTAGAATTTGTTTTCTCCTGGGCTAAAAGTTCTCCAAAGGTAAACAAGCTGAAGCAGGTTTTTGGTTCTGTCTCGCAAATTCGACATGGCAGAAGCACAAAGACAGGCCAGGATTAATAGCTTAAAACGGAAAAGGATCCGGAACATCCAAGTGGCTTGATCCATTTAGCTGACAGTCTGGCTCACATTAGAAATGGAACAAAGTGACAGCCTACAAATCACCACCGTGTTTGTGTGTTTTACATGATTAAATGGTGGAGGGAGTATTAAATCAAACTAAGCCTGCCTCACACTCACCAGCATAAGGACTCTCCTTTCTCAGTAAAACAACAACTCCTCTACATTCATTGCTCAGAACACCGATCCATTCTTGTTGACCACAAGTTTTGTAAGTTGGCAGTCTCTTTGAAAGTTATCTTTTGTTTGGAAGTTATATCAGACCCCAGAGCTGGCTTGTTGATACTGTATCAGCAACACAGTCATTATTCTTGCACTCACATGTCATTATATAATCATATTTAATAGCCATGATAATCACATTCTTCCCAGTTGATTATGTTTAGTCTTGATTTGTATTCATGTTGATTGTCAACTTATTGTCTCCCGCCATTGGACTACAGGTAAAACTTTGTCTTTGTTACCATACATTGGTCCATGCACTGTAAACAAGCATTATTTTTAAAACACGCATGTATACAGCAGAGTTGCAGGCATACTGATCCCTTTCAGTATATTAAGTTTTTGTTCTTTTTTCTTTCTTCCCTTTCTCTCAGTTCCTCTCTTTATAGCTCGCTCCACAGGCTGAAGTTGACCCTGTAAAATGTTTGAGAAGTAATGTTTAGACTAGAACTTTAATTCGGTCCCCTTCGCTCAGCTCTGTGGAGTCATCTCTGTCTGCTGCCTAGATGGCATTTCATATAACTGAATCAGGAGTATAAGATGTTGAGACTGACTCTATCCCATTCCCCCCCATTACTTTATCATTTGCGTCATGCTGTATCGCTTTCCCTTGTTATTTCTGTGAAGTGGAAATAACATGAACATCAAACGTTTGTAAGCCACCTTTTCTGCTATTATTGTCACTCTCATGTCACTGTCTGCTTTCTTTAGTTGAAAACTTGGAGAGAAGTTAAACTTGTTTTGTGGTTAAGTTAAGCAGATCACATAGGAGATACATTTTTTGCTTCACAGACCTGCATTTCTTTGTCTCCATGTGTTGTGTGTGTGTCTTTGATCCTATCATACGGTTAGTAGAAGTCTGCATATTTTGGCAGTTCAACAAAGGCATGTTGAAACTCTTGAACTTTTCACTTTTCTCTCTACATGAGGTGTTCTATTTGCACGGATCTGGCAATATGATTAACACTGCAACAATGCAAGCAGTACTTGTAAGTAGTACTTGCTACTATAATCAATATTTTTGTAATAAGACTGGGTCAAATGTCTACGGTTGCTCATAGTTTTTAAGGCACATAGAATTATAACCAGATTCTGCAGATCCCCTGAGCTCTATAAAGGTTTTAAGCATCTCTCAGCTCGTTGTTTTGGTTTTCCAGCCTGCAACTTTACTTTTTTTGTTCACTTTCACTGCTTCCACCAGCAGGCAGTTATTTCAGTGAAAAAGCTCACAAAAACAGACTCTACACTCAAGGGCATGTCCAGGGAGTGGCCTGAAATCTGATTGGCCACCCCAGGTGCCACCCAATTATTCAAAACTATAATTGGCTACCAGCCCAATGAGACCAACAATTTGACAAGTATTTGTGAATGTTCATGGTTTTCTCATGAAAGTCAGGGCTCAACAGTGCGAGTATTTCACTTGTATGTGCCCCTAAGAATATACATGAGAACCGGGGGAAATGGTTTAAGAGCACAGTGTGCGAGTAAGGACTACAATCTACTGTAATCTTCAACCACCCACTACCCCCCACCACTGCTAATCGTTCAAAATGTACTCCAGCTGGCCATCAATAGCTCCATGGGAAGTCCTGTTTGAGCAGCTCACAAGAACAGCAAGAGAGATGCGTCATATGAGCATGGTTGTAAATTTAGCCGAGACAGGATGCTAGTGCCATTGTGCCAATAAGTGCTACTTCTAGCCAGCCTCCTCCGAAGTGAGGGTTCACACTGACCTTGTTTCGTCCATTTGAACCGAACCCTTGAGCATTTACCCCCTCGGTGTAGTTCATTTGGGTTGGTGTGGACGCCAGATACGGACTCTGGTGCAGACCAAACAACCACTCTCTGGTCCGCCTCGAAAGGTGGTCTCGGACCAATGTCAAGTGAGCTCTGGAGCGGTTCATTTCTCAAACCAATAACAGGAAGTGTATTCTATGTGTCATTTCCTTGGTTATAGAACATCTCATGCTGTTTTGGTGACTGGTGAACTAGTAGTCTGTCTGCTACCAAAATGTCAACTAGCAGGGGACAAACCTGGACCCACGACAAAGAGAGGTCAATTTCTCACTTATTAGAGAAGATAAAATTAAGGAAAATGAATTTCAGCGAACTGTTGAGCAGTGTTGTGTGAAAGTAACAAAACTGCATCAACAGTCAGAGTTCTATAGTATGTATTTTTTTATTTTCTGACTGCAAGAGCCCTCCGTCAGTGCCTCACTTGGGCCACCCCAGTCAAGAAAGTCTGGACACACCACTGTACACTTTCTGCCCAGCACCAAATAGTGGACAGGCAAAGTTAGGGACTAGCTGGTGAACATGGTGGAGCAGCATTTAGCAGATTAATTGCTGGATATGTCTTTCAGGAATTGGTGGTGACCAAAACAGAGCTAAAAAAAGGACAGTTAATATTTTAATTATATTCATCAGGTCGCCACAAGCACTCCAAATTAATGTTACTCAGTCAGCTGGATGTGTAAATAAGCTACTTTTACAAGTTTGCCATATAAACTTAAAAGGTGAAATCAGTTTATGAATAAAAGACAACAAATGGCCTCCAGTACTAGAGTAGTACCAGGTAACAGGTGGGAACACTGTATCCACAGGATTCAACAATTGCACTAAACCCATGGCAGATATACAGAAGGTAATAGGCCACGAAAGCCAATATGATAACGAAATCATGAGAAAGGAAGGGTGGTTGGATTGGTAGCAGTGCTTCGGGTACCATGGTTGGCCAGCATCTGTAGCACTCTGCTCATTTATGTTTCATGCGCTGTACAGGGCTTCCTTCCATGGCTACCAAGACTATTGAATACACAAGCTTTAACATTATTACATACACAGCATGAAGACCATGAAAATACACCATGAGACAGAAAATAATCTCCTTTACACGTGTGTTTTGGTGGAGTTTTTGAATTACATTTCAATGAATGTTTGTGCTTACTCTTTCTTTAACTGGGCATTGCGGAGAAAGGAACAAGTTTTCTCACAGCTGATTTTTTCTTTAGTTCACACTAAATGTTACTAAAGACCACTGATAGCACCTGTATACACACCACAGGCCGAGAATAATATGTAACTTCCTGCTGCCTATTTGTCCAACCAACTGAAATCCCTCTCTTGGCAGGCACCAACATTGTCTAAACCTTTTATGCACTGAACTGTTTCATTCTTTCATTGTCTTTCCCTTTCAGGACATTATTTTGCCCACACTCCGTGGACACCAAGAACAAAACCTGGTCTTCTTTTGAAGATAAGCTGCCAAAGGGCTGGTGCTATGCTGCCAAGTGAGTAACCGTCTGGCCTTGTGTACCTGACCTCGGGTGGTGTACGTGTATATGTGTGAGTCGGTGTGTGTATATGTGCACCTGACACTATATACAACCTGCCAGCCACCTGCTGCCAGGTCTGCTCACCTACAGTCACCAACCTCACCTCCATACACAGAATCACTTCCAGTGCGCTGTTTGTGTGTGTGCTCTATGTAGAACCTCTTCCAATTGTTGTTTTAGTATAATTTTATAATATACTTTTTTTGGTCAATGTACTGCAGTATGCTGTTATAAGATTAGCAACACCAGACGGTATGAAGAAGATTTTCGTTACCAGGCACATGTAGTAGGTGAAGAGTCTTACCAACTTAACTTAAATGGTCTAAACTTAAGTTAAAATTGCCACAATCCTTATTGAAAGCAAAGCAGTACACAATACATGTATTTTTCAAAATATCTTTACAAAAGCCTTTATCCTTATTTATTGCATTTTGTTTAATTCTAGTGTCAGAGTGCATTATAGCAATACAAAGTTTTATTTACAAAGTTTTATTTGCTAAAGCTGAAAAAAAAAATCAAAATGATGTTGAAATGTGATGTCAGTGTCATTTGACTAACTTAACTTCTTTTACATTTTATATTTTCTGTCTGTCAGGGTTGTGTAGATAGTTTTATTCTAATCCGCTGCTCTTGTCTTCCTACCCTTTCCACCACAGTTTATCCATTCCTCTCTCATCTCCACGTGTCTCACTCCTTTTTCTCTCCTCGCCCTCCTGTCTCTTCTCACGTTATCTTTTCTGTTTTTTCTCATTCCACCTTACGTCTCTCACTTCATCTTGTCATCCCTGTTATCCCTCATGCTTTCATCTGTCTCCCTCATTCTTACCCTTCATCCCTTATCTCTGTCTTTCTCTCTCCTGTCATGCTTTCATCCCTCCCCTCTTATCCTTTCTGTCTTATCTCATCCCACTTTCCGCTCATCCTTTCATCCATTTCCACGTCTGTCAGTGTAGTTACTTTACTGACTGATTGTCGGAGACAGTTTTGCCTAAACAGTGTACAAAATGTCACTTTCAAAAACCAACAAGGATCAGTTTCTGCAGTCAAACCACATTGGGCTTCTAAATTGAAATATCTACAGCATGTTGCACCTGTTAGAGCAGAACAAAAGTTTTGACCACTTGTGGCGCTGTGAGGTATTTATTTTTTTACATTTTGTTCATTACATTGTATTGTGCACAAGGATACATAATGCACATGTGTAAGTACGCAGGCGGTGCAATTCCCGTCCTGTCACTGGTTTCATGCTATTTCACCTCAGTGCAAAAGAAGAATACTTTGAAGCAAACATGTATGTAAACAATGCATGGTTTATAATATAATTTAAAAAATTGACTTGCAAATGTTTTATGAGGAAAGGAAAGCCCTCAACACATTTCTTAGACCAATGTCAGGGACCAAACAGTCAGGCAATGAGGAGAACAAGAGTTTTGTTGAAAAATAAGAAATAACAAACAATAGAAACCACAAACTTAACAACTAGGCCTATAAAAGAGGTCGACAAAATATAACTATACTCAAAACAGCATACAACAAACAGAATACAAACGGAACAAACGGAACAAACTGACCTAACGAATGAGACACAAGGGAACATATATAGTGGCTTGTGCCAAACCAATTTACACACAAGGGAAAAACAAAATGGACGACAACTTCAACTAATACAAAGAAAAACAGACTAAACCCCAAATCCCCTTCCAACATGGCAGCACATGGTATGGCTTGATTGACAGGCCACAGGATATAACAGTCCTCCACCCTTGGCCACAACTTTCTTCCACCAGTACAGACCTCTCTCCAATATGGTAACACAAGAAACAATGATTAATATAACAGAAAATGTTTACTTAACCCTACAGTGTGAAAATGTATGCACTGCATTTAAACAGTGTATGGCAAAAAGCAAATACATGTATATTATAACTCAAATAAACTGTGTAATCAGAAATCGTTAATTGTTTGGGGTGTGGCTAACTGCAAAAAGAACTTAACGTGTGTACTTAACAAAACATGGTAGACTTGTGTGCTGTATTACCATTGCTGGTGTTTTGGTGAGAAAGACTGGAAAGGTGAGAATGTAAACAAAACTCCACAGGGCACCATTAAGGTGTAACCTGATGATGTCATCAGGGTTGTCTCAGTTGTATAGAACGAAGTGACGGTTTTGGATGCACTTGGGACTAAAAGTCAATTTAAATTTATATCTTGTGAGTCCCCCAACTTTATAAAAGTGTAATTCTAAATCAGAGTAACTCTTTAAAAAAAGTTTTTTTAATTAGGGCAGTGTCAGATCTTAAATTGGCTGGTAGCCTTGGAATTGTCTCTCAGCATGTGTGTGTGTCCTTGTCTTTCCTGTAGGACCACTACATGGAGTTATATATTTAATAAAAGGCAACACACACACACACACACACACACACACACACACGCACACACACACAGTCATGGATAAATCTATAGATCAACATGCATAAATTCATCCACATGTGCACAGCTACAGCACACACATCTTACGTGTCAGTTAAATATAACTTTGGACAAGCCGATCTCACTCACAGCTTGAGATGCAGCCATGCAAAGGTGGATGAGTACAGGTGATGGGTGTGCATGTGCTACTTCTCTTTGTGTGTGTGTGTGTGTGTGTGTGTGTGTGAGAGAGAGAGAGAGAGCGCATCTGCCTCCATTCGACCACATGGCGACTCTGAGTAGCCTCTATCTCGGCTTCACTACAATCAGAGTAAAAGTGACGCGTTGTTCCAAGGCACCGCAATTAGGCTGAGTCACGTCAACGCTGGACAGCTCTGATGAAGGGCTATTAGAGAGCAAGGGATGATGGAGGCACTCATCACCCCCCCACACACACACACGTACACACACACACACACACACGCCACCACCACCACCTTTACCACCATCATCACCATCCGTCACCATAACCCCCACTGCATGGTCCCCCACATCCATCACCATTATTGCCAAACTTTCCCAGGCAACTACTCTGAGCAAGAGTCATTCTAACCTGGCAGCGCTCTCCCTGCCATTTTTCCCTCCACTCCTTTTTTGCATCTGTCTCATTTCCTGCCACGGATTCATATATATTTCGGGATAAGTGCTCTCCGTGAATCTTACACACCTGCTTTCTCTCTCTCTCTCTCTCTCTCTCTCTCTCTCTCTCTCTCTCTCTCTCTCTGCCTTTTCCAACTTTCTATCCTTCATCCTCTCTCCTTCCTTCTGTTCATCTGCACATCTATTCATCTTTCTCTCTCCAGCCTCCTGTGAGTGCTTCACTCTCCCTCTTCCTTCCGTTTTTTTTTTCTCAGAGTCATGCACCTCTGTTAATAGCTCAATTTCTCTTATTCTCCCCTTATCTTTGATGCATTTCACCTGGTTTGAATCATTTTACTCATATAAATCCATCTCCTCCTCCCTCACACTTTTTTTCTCATGCCTATTGTAATACCTTACTACAAAGCCTCTATGTGAAAATGAACATTCCACAAACTCGGAAAGTATTATTTTAAATTGAACGATATTCTTACAGAATAGTGTTAGCTCTCCGAAAAATCAATCTTTTACTCATTTACTGTAGTTTATCTAACAAATTACCTTCATCTAGTGACATTTTAGCGTAGCTAAACAATTTAACATCTCATGGATAAAATGTTTTTTCTAACTATTTGAATTAAGTAAGTATTAGCTCACATAGTTTACTGTTGTCATGGTGATTTGGTATTATGTTTACAAATAGTGGTTTTAAAGAGTTTTGTTGACTTAATTATTTGACATTTGTGGTGTTACAAATATAATTACATGCAAACAAAAATAATCTGTTTTAGGAACATACGCATAAGGGTTTGGTGAATGCAAACTGTAATGCCACTTGAGCATTAATTGACATATGTTTCTAGGTGAGTCAGCTGTGAAGTGCACAAATGGAGGAGTTTAATCAAATTATCATAAGTCCCTCTTGTACTCCTGAAAAGGTGTCTGACATACTGTATTCAACAAAGATGGCATTTTTAAGCTGTGCCAGTCTCCCACAGTAGCATTGTAGCAGTGGAGAATAGTGTCAAAATTACTGACATCAACATCAACCCACAGTGTATTTGTCACTAGTAGCAGCTGGTGATGTCAGATATGCATTACTATACAGTAAAAATGAGTTCTTGCAAAGTTCTTAGTAACCTCTAGTTAGTTTCAAAGTTGTAACTGAATAAAATCAGGATGCACCAGTAGTCAGTAAATCCCTTAAATTTCAATTCAGTTAGTAAGTATTAGCTGTCTATCTCCAAAAACTTAAACACAAAAATCACTGCAGCATCAAAACAGTTCCAGAAATAACAGTCTCAACAGGCCAAGCAGCAAAATAATCTTAGCTGCCATTCCACTGCTAAAGGTACGACATTCTTGATTATTATTTGTATATACAGAGGTAAAAAAAACTGATCTATCAGATCAAGTTAATGAACATTTTTGCAGTTTAATGTTAGAGGGAATTACTACCTAATTTACCTCTTCTTGTCACTGTGTGCTGATCAAATAGTGGGTTATATTTCACCAGTTTTTATGCAGCAGTTGCACCTAGTAGTTGTTAGGTATATATATTGACAAAAAAGCTCTATGGCTGGACTAGTTTCTGCAGTTACAGTAATTCAGTGATGTGTACATCTCATTTTAATAAGCATTTCTCATCGACCAAGTTTAAAGAGAAGAAGAAAATGCCTGTCTGTTCCTGCTGAATAAAAAAAGAGAGTCAAAGGTTTCTGTCTGTGCCAGCAGGTGGGAAACGCCTGTTGTGCTTCCTGGATGACTTTAACGTAATGGCACCACTTTGGCTCCCAGCCAAACTACAGACTACAGCTTCTGGAGCAACCACCATGAACAGACCCTAAAGTGTGTGTATGTGCGTGCATTGTACTAATTTTCTAATTATTATTATTATTATTTCCTTTATTTGTATTTTGTTTTTAAATTTCACATTTTAGGTTGTTTTTTTTATTAATTGATTAGTTTTTTGTCTATTAAAACACACAAACACACGTTACTGTTTAATTAATTTATTTTATTTAAAAAAAATTTAACACACACACACACACACTTACTGTTTTATTTATTGACTTTTATTTTTAATATTTATTTTCCTGTAATTTTTATTTTATATATTTTTATTATTATTATTTTATTTTTTATTAACACAGAGAAACACAACTTTTGCTGTTTTATTTACTTATTTAATGAAATTTTGTTTGTAAATAATTGTTTTTATGTAATTTATGTGTAGCTTTGGCAATATTGTTGTTATACATTCATGCCAATGAATTGAAAATATATCTGAACTGTTCTTGCTGGTATTCATGGGGCCCCCTGGTGGAGGGAGGACTCACATCTCACCTCTCCTTCACTTAAACTTCCACTTTTCCGATTTAGCCATGCACCCTATTTTACTATAGCCATAATTTCATAATGTCTGTAAGTATTGTACTGTATAATTCATTACATTACATATAAAGCCATGGCCTTAGAAGTTCTCCTTTATTGTTTGGGACAGAATATTTTCTTTGCTTTACTTTTTTTGGCTTTATATTTCAGTAATGGTAGCACTACTGTACTGTAGTAGTAGTATTAGTAGTAGAAGTAATAGTAGTAGCCAAGCAGAGAGCCACCGTTTTATAATCTTGTTAATAAAAGGGTTGTTTCAACAGTGTCATTGTACTGAAAGGGTTTCGCACCTCTTTCTCTGATATAGCCTACCGAACATCCTTATTATATTTTTCTTTCATTACGTTGCCATTGCTTTGTGGTGCCCTAAAAGCTAAAATGATCATTATAAACGCAGCCTTTGTAAACCTGGTAATTGTGAGAGTTTTATTTAATTAAAAGTGCCTCTTACTCATTTTAGCAATCTGTCTATTTTCTACACCCTCTGTCCTTCTTTCACTCTCATCCACCTACTGTGTCACTGTCTCTATGCATTTCACCATGGTTACACCTGGTAATGTCCTTGTTCCTCCTATCTGACATTTTATCCTCCTCCATCACCCTTTGCCATCCGCCTTTCCATCTCCCCGCACTGGAATTACCCTGATTATGATTATAGCCGTGATGATAATCATAACCACTGCAAAATTGCACTCTCTCTCTCTCTCTCATATCCAACACCCAGGAGATTATGATTGACTGAGAGGCTGCCTGCAAATGTTTCTCATTTTTTCAGCTTTCCTCAGTCTATCTTTGTTTCTTTCCTTTTTTTTTTTGTTTTATTTGGCCTTTCATACTTTTCATTCTCTCTCCACTCATTGCTCACTCCCTCTCCAGATCACCTCTTGTCTCTTTTCAGTCTTTTTCAATTTTCTGGCAGTCTTTCATCTCTGTTGTTGTGCTCCTTTCAACCTTTCCTGGTCCATCTTACCTCTGCCACTTGTCCCACGCTCTCTCCCTTCTCACTCCTGGTTTTCAGCCTATTATTTGTTCTCTTCTCCCTCTATCCACTCTTCTCCTCTCATGCCTGCTTAATCCACCGCCACAAAGAAACTAGATACATTTGCTTTTTAGCCATATTGTATTCTGGAAATAATTGTAGAGTTGTCTAGCCTCTTGAATATGTGAAGTGGACAACATGAAATGACTTTCTTACTCTTTCATCTTTCACTGATGTATTCCCTTCTTTGTGCATTTCCTGTTCTTACTTTCTTTTTCTTTACCAGTACAACATTGAAATCCATGTATCTTTGACATGGCTGTATCATTAGACGTACAAAACCTGCCTTCTTCCCACATGTAGGAGTCGCAGATCAGGCAGATACAGTACTATGATCAACCAGAACCTACAGGGTTTTAAGGAGGTGATACCCATTGGATGGTTTCTGTCTCAAGCCACCTTAGAACTGTTATGCTGTTACAGCTCGTTTTCCTCCTTTTCCTTCCAAGGTACACTACCTCTTCAACCAGAGATCGAGTATCTCACGCAATAACACGCAATGATGACGGATACAATTACACATACATACTGTGCAATATCAGGAAAAAAAGTGCCCCTGGTTTCAGTAATCTTGAAAATTTTAGCTCAATCCAATCCCAAAGTAATTTTGTCTAAACAAAATATTGGAAGGTTTTTGCACAACTCTGAACTTCAACAAAAAATGCTAGAAAATTATACCATTTCAGTAATCACTGTATTTTTCAAAATTATTTCTGAACTCAAGTCTGCCCTATTCTATAAAGATAGCAGTTCTTGCTTGGCTTGTTGTACCTGTGTCCTATCAGTGCTATTCAAAACTTTATTATGGTAGTTATTCTCCTTTAAACAAAATTTGTTTTTGTCATCCTGTTCACTGCTGCCATATAGACTGAGGAAGCATTTTCCACTTTGCCACATTAAACTAAAAGTTACTAAAAATATATCTGCTTCTAGCACTTCAAAGTCCATGAGGCACACACAATAAGTATGACCTTCACTTGTTTTCATAACGTTTTCTTTCTCTGTGTCAAGAGTATAGGGGGAGTGGTTGAATCCTCATTCTGTGGTGGCAGTTTATGGTTTGGATACTCTTGAAAATAGTCAAATAAATAGGACGAGTGGAAATTAAAACTACCCTTGTACATTTTTGTATACAGTAGATGACACAGAGTCTGCACCTCTCCAGGGAGCCAATAAGCCTTAATAACAACGCCAGGACCAATATCTTTACTGGCAACTGTAAGTCTGACTAAAAGCTCAGTCTTTCACAGTCCAAGCAGAACCCATCAGACCAAGTTAGGTCCTGACAGGTTTGATCAAGCGTCCAGTCCATGTAGTGAACCATCAGCCTATTCAGCTAACCATTGCACAGAGATTTCTTTATTAGTTTATTTTGATTATACAGTATATATAACAGGTGTGCACGAACAAAATGAAAACATCCATTTTAATATATCATTTTGTTAAATTGTTCACAATGGTGAAATGTCATTATTTATATCTCTATGAGAATAAATAAACTAATTTATGCTACAGTAGATGTCAAATGACAGTGTATCTGTCAAAAACACCAAAAACACCATCACCACACTGGATCCATTAGTGCTTCAGGTAACCAGCATCTCTGTCTCTCTCTTTTGTGTTTCTTTGCTTCTCTCACTCGCACAATCATGTTGTCTTACTGCTCCTTCCACTTTTCCCTTCAGACATATGATATCATCAGCTGGGTATTTGAATATCAATAATTTGTGAGTGCTGCAGTCCCATTTATCTTCTGTGTAATATCCCCTGTATTATCCACCATATACGCATAGATTACACATATTTTCTACCAATACTATAACACATAGATAAATCTTGATATGAGCAGGATATTCATAGGAGGGTTTCCACGCATGATAGCATTATTGATCAGTATGTAGAGAATACATCAGGACTGGGTTGACATTTATATGGAAAATCTGTTGATCTAATGACCCAATTGAAATCCGTTGTAAAGTTTTTACATTTCTCACACAATTACAGCTTACATTGTCATGGTTAAATCAATGATAATAAAGAGGCAGAGAATGGTATAAACTAATGTTAATCTGCTTTTTTATTTATTTCAAGGCCTAACAATTAGATTTTGTCAGTCTTATTTAATTTCATCTGTAAGAAAAAAACATGTGAAACAAAGAAGTCCATAATGGCACCAATTTTGGAACTTATCAGCTATTGTCTAACGACAAGCAGATATCTGTTTATAGAGATTAAAATGGCACAAACAAGGCAATTGCATCACCAGAATGAATAGATCTTAACCTGTCTTTAGCTCCTGCTCCTCCTGCTCCAGTGTCTAGTTGGACCAGTTTGCATCTGGAAACTGGAGAGATGTTTGGTCATATTCAAGTGCTAATCACGGGCTACCGCATTAATTGTGCTGCACTGAAATACAGCAGTGAATGTTATTTTCCCACAGAGACAATAATGTGTCTGAGGATATTCTTGTTATTAACTACAAAGATGATTGTCCTTTTGTTGTGAATGTCAGATTGTTTTTGAAGTGGGAATATAAATGTTTTCCCTGCTCAAGTGTGTTATTCTAGTTTATTTGAATCTCAAACCAACCAACAGTCGAATTTATTAATGCATTTCCTGTGCTGTTCTAAACCAAACCACTAGTATGGGTATTGCTCCTTTTTGGTGATACACAAGAAATTAGTTGTTTTATGGATAGTGTTTGATGTTCTCATGTTTTTTGGATTGTCATTTGTATTTGGTTGACTGTGACAGTGGTGATGTAAGGTTTCATTTAGATTTTTTCATTTATTGTTGTTTGTCTTGAGATGAAAAGTTGATATAAGCCTCTCAGGTATTTTTATCTCAGCAGCATGTTATTGATTGCATCAGCTTTCTCTTTTTTTTTACTGTCGTGTTCTTTATCATTCCACCTGTGTGCCTATGTTGTGCAAATTAACTTCAAAATAAACCTACTTAATCAGCCTAAATCAGGAACAGGGTTTCGGAAGAAAATCCCATACTATAATTGAACTGCCCTGTATTCGCGCTGATTCCGCTGTCAGGCTTGTTGCTCTGTGTTGGTGGAAAACGATGTTTTATTGGTGTACAAAGTAAAACACAAGATTAAAATCTAAAAGTGATTCCTGTGCAGCAATGAGTGATCACCAAGGACATTACTTTTAATAAGTGTTTGGTATACACTTGCAAATATAATAATAACAGGGACGTGCACAGACATTTTATTTTAGTTCCCTCACACTCACGCAATTGTTTTATACTTATTAAATTTCTACAAAATAATCTGTTCACATTATGATCTTCTATGGTCAAGAAGAGGGACATTAAAATTAATTATTTCAATATATTTTGTTTACAAGCAAGATAACCTTCAGCTTCACGCAGCCAAGCAACATAATACTGAACTGTCTAATTACATTAATGTACAAATACAAATACATTATTATTATTATTATTATTATTATTGCTATTTAACACTTACCACACATACAATAACTGATGGTGACAAGGACTTAGTTTCACATTTGATGGAGAGCT